CTCTATGTAGAAGCTTCCACCAACCCAACCTAATCGAAGCTTACTTCTTTCCTCACCAGAAGTGATTGAAGTTGACAGTTTTTTTAATGTCTCTGCGCGTCAACCTATACCTGGAGCTGCTTTGTTAAATTTGTGATGGAAGGTAAAGTTGATCCCCAAAGAACGATCTGTGTAAAAGAAAACGAGTATATTTATGTACGACATACATACACGGATAACCGAGATTTGAAAGCATTGAAGTCAGTCATGTTTATTAGGACTTTTCCCTGCCGAAGCACGTTACTTTCATGGAGTAACTACCCGAAAAGATGATACTTGGTTCATATACTACAACATATACTACAGGTACAGGTCTGTTCATAGAATCTGCTCGCACCAGCTGACTCGGACTAATCTGGGGGACACGTGACTGCCTGCTCACGAATAGGAAGGGGGCATGGTGAAGACAGAAGGGGAACGGCGTAGGGAAGTGAGTTCACGAGGTAAGGAAAGACGAATAGCGAGAATTTTTTGTGATAATGATACTAAAGTCAACAAAAAATAAAAACCGTTTCTGGTTTTTTGGAGAATTGTAGTATTAGGTTTGAGAATGTAGCTAAACTATTTTCCCGAATTTTACTAAGTTTTGAAGGGATATTGAAAAATTTCCGCGATAAACGGATCATTGCAGCAAAAGTTCGATTTAAAATGGCTAGAGTAACTGTTTCTATGTCTACTTCTAAAGATGTGACATTTAATGTTTAGTGTATTTTTTTTCTTTCAGTTTTATATATTTCAATTTTAACACCGCACCTATTAACTACAAGAGTTTCATACCTATACCCACTGCAGGATTGTAAACTGCAACACACCCAAACACTTAAGTGTTCTCGGCCTTCCATAACGGTCCTTAGGAACAAAAGATTACAATGCGAATTCACAGACTGGTCTGCTGCTTGTGCACTTCAGAAGCTGTTCGACCAAATTCTGTGGTGGTCGTCACGCCCACAAGTGGCAACAGTGACCTGTTTTCGATCGCTGACTAGGTACATCTCACACTTCAATTCCCTGGCTGTCCATTGACCGATCCCTAGAGAAAACTAGGGGTGCGACAACAGCACATACTTTATCGCAATATTTCTATATTTTCAATATTCAAAAATGTGTATGTTCTATCCGTGGAAAAAAATTCAGAAAAAATTTTGAACGGTTTTCGATAAAATATTTTTTTTAATTGATTGAATTTCAAGTAATAATTACACAGAAGCTACTCTATTTTTCTAAGATTTGTACATGACCTTTTTTAAAGAGATGAATGTTTAGAACTGATTTTGTTAAAGGAAAAATTTCTATTTTCAATTTTCTAATTTTTAAATGATAAACGTTGGCAATTTTCGTCGGAAATAAGAATAGCACTAAATTGTTGCTGTCCTTTCATACATCCGAGTGAAAAATTTAAAAAAGACTTTGGATCCGTTTTTGAGAAAATAGTTATTTCAAAAAAATTAAAAGTTTTCTTCTATTTTCTTTGTGATCAACAGAGGGAGTTGTCAGATTATCCGGGGGTTTTCTCGTTTTCCCTCACTTATCTCTCCTGGCCATCGATCCACAAAGAACATTCATCTCAGGCACTGTCACTCAGGGCTGGTATTACAATCATATTTCACCCAAAAGTACGCAAAAACTATTCATATTTTCGAAACAATGTTAATGATTGACTTCAAGCACAGTTCTTAAAAAACAGATTTCATTCAAGAAAAATGTGTACCTTTGATATTGTAATGGTAGGGTTTCATTGAAATATGAGATTTCATTGAAAATGAAATCTGCATCAGTCTCTGAGCGTCATTTACGTTAGGTGAGGACAAAGTAAAAACAAAAATTTTGGAGCCATTTTTGTGAAAACTTTGAAAATGTTGGGGTTTTATATAAATTACCCCCGAAATAAAAATATCCGTTTCAAACTCAGAGGGCATTGATTTCGTTCAGAATCATCGGGAAATATCAATTTTGTAGAAAATCCGCTGAACGGGTTAGGCGTTAACTTTGAGCTCGCTTAAGCCGAAATAAGCCACGGTCACTTCAGTCAAGAGGACACCTTCTGGACGCCTGTTTTCGGAACACCCTGCCGGCCCTTCAACCTTCAGCGACCTTCGTAAACACAAGATAGCATCGTACATCCGTGAAT